CCTTGGGCAAGCCATGGTTCTAGCACAGCTGTCCTTGAAAAGAGCCGTTTCTGTCAGAGCTCTCTCAGCCCCACCTACCTCACATGGTATCTGTTGTGGGCAGGGAAAGGGGTAGGAGTTTGTGAGACACTCTGAGACTCCTCTGGGTAGTGAAGGGCGGGGTATAAATCCAATCTCTTCCTCTTCTTCTTCTACAATTACCTTTTAGCTGCGTCAGGAGACTTGGCTACAATTACTGCATTTCTGTAATCGGGAATCTAGATTAAAAAGAAAAGTTTTCACTTGTTAAACCAGCATCACCGATTAACTTCTTGGATAAGTCACTACTCTGCACAGAACACTTACTGCGTAGTAAAGAAAGTCAAACTAATATCAAAATACCCATAAGCACTCATTCTGCTTCAGACGTTTCTCTTCTTGCTGAATGCATTGCTGCAGGATAGGTACATCGGTATAGCCGACTTATGTGCCTGACTGCTCACAGCGGAAGTGTTCTTATTCCATATCAGTGATTCCTAACCTTTTTTGGATGATAACTCACACATCCAGATTTATTCGATCCAAGAGTTTTTTGGTGCCCTCGGCAAACTATGACCTCGACACCCATCTATTCCAGCTTTCCATTTTCTACAGTGCCCCAAAACAAGTAGCTTACCTGTAACTGATGATCTTCGAGTGGTCATCTATGCAATCACACCTATGGGAACGGCGCCTGCGTCGATTCCAATCTGGGAAACTTCTAAAAAGCTCAAAGCGATCTGGGGCCCCTCCCCCGGGGCACGCGCATCCTCCACCGCGCATCCCCAGAGGGCGGGGCCCCAGTATCCCACCAGTTCCTTCTGACCGCTAGAAACCTCCGGAGTAAATAGACTGAAGAGGCTTCCAGCAGTGGGGAAGGAGGGTGGGTGGTCTGAATGCATAGATGACCACTCGAAGATCATCAATTACAGGTTGTTGTTTTTTTTTAAAAAAAAAAACTGCAACAGGCACAAAAGCACAAACCAGAAATAACCTGCCTAGGTCCCAGGCAGAAAGCCTAGTCAGTAACAACCCCCCCCCCCAAAAAAAAAGCCCCAACAAGCCAAGAAATAAAATACCAAGCCCAGTAAAAATATATATATTTAAACTGCAAAAACAACAGGCTGGCAACAAAATCACTAACCAGATAGACAGAAGACCCCCCCCCCCCGAAAAAAAACCCAGAATAAAATGAGAATATTAAGGGATATTTTTTTTCTGACAAAGTGCAGTCATTTTCATTACAGAGAAAATAAAGGCTAGCTATGACCAAATGCTGCCAAATGTTGATAGATCAAAATAACTTCACCTCTTCCTGTATATACTGAAGCAAGAAAGGGGATGCCCTCAGATTGTCAACAGGAAAGCTGAAGAAGCCCTGGATTTCTTTCTGGTGAAGATCCATAGTGATGATGTGAGTTAAACCTAAAAGAAGGGGGAAAAGGTGAGATCTTAATTGCATTAAAGCACCTAATCACACTCTAAGCAATGGGGTTTCAACCTCACTCAAAATGGTCTCCGTTAATTGCCGACCAATACATGATCTCTTAGGCTGGGGTAATCGAGCAGGATTCTTGCTAACACCGTCATGTACGTTACAGATCCTGCTGGACTTTAGTGATGCCAGCAAAACAATAAATCACCGTGTATAAATATACAATATAAGCAGATATTTATATATAATGCTTTTAGAATTCAATTGTCAGCAAGATTACAACTATAACATCTTAAATGCGATCTTAGGCTTGGCAGTACATATGAAACATTACAGTATAGTTTCAGACAAACAACGGATTTCTAGTATAAGTCCGTTTACGAATCCTTCTTCAGGTTTGTCGTCTGTATTCTTATCTTCAATAGAATAGAGTGCTGCAAGCATCATTTCACAATGTAACTTCTTATACAGTTTTTTGCACGTTATCGCGTTTAATCTGGTGACTGGGGAGCTCCTATCATGCTCTCATGTGACAGAGTCTACAATGTGATATTTGGCTCAGCTTCCCTCAGGACTTTAGTGATGCAGCATGTTGCCTCATAGTGGCCTTTTGACTTTTACTAAATGTTTCCCTCCTTTGCAAACTGCAGTAGTTTAGTCGTGAGTCTCAAAAGCATTACTTTTGCCTTATATATAAAAGCATTTTGGTGTGAGACTCGCCTGAACGTTCCACACACCTTCCTAGCCTTTGGGTACCTGGCCTGTCCTGTCGCTCAGCGGGGGCCCAATCTCTAGGCTGGATTGCGTCCCTCCGTCGCTTCGGCCCCGCCCACAGACCCGCCAGGCAGCCTCTAGCCCTCAGTCTGTGCGGGGCCGCCAGGCGGGATGGACGCTCTGGCGCTGGGACGTGTGTGAGCCCCAGGTCAATCCTACCGCTGCCACGCCCCAGGCAGCCTCCAGAGGGCCGCTGGACTGACGGCCGTGGACATGGCCCACGGGCCCCCGCCACCCGACCAGCCAGGGGGCCAGTGGTGCGGGGGAGAAGCCAGGGACCGTGAGATGATCCTCCCACCACTGCGCGAGACCTCCAACCGCCCCTGCCTCACCTTTCCCTGCTCCGCAGCAGCCGGGCGCGGGGAGGTCTACTCGAGCCCCCCCGCCTCCGCACCCCAGTGCGAGGACGCTGACATGTGGCTGCATCCTGGCAGGGTGGGGGCTGAAAAGCCCCCGCTTCACTCACCTCTCTTCCGGCACCGCACTGACCGCCGCCGACCCATCTTCACCCGCCCCCGCCTTCTACGACCGCTTGGCGGCCTCCCGGAGGGTCAGGTGGCGTGGGGCCTCTCCGCTGGCGGTGCACTGGGCTCCTTGGCCCACCGGTGCCTCCAGCAGCTGTGGGAGAAGTCAGGATGGCCGACTTGGCCCACCAACGCCTTCATCCCGGCATGGGGGGGAGCCGCGCCTGGTCTCCTCCACCCGCAGGTGCCTCGAGCGCGCCAGCCTGGCAGGGCGCCGACTCCCCAGTGCGAGGACGCTGACATGTGGCTGCATCCTGGCAGGGTGGGGGCTGAAAAGCCCCCGCTTCACTAACCTCTCTTCCGGCACCGCGCTGACCGCCGCCGACCCATCTTCACCCGCCCCCGCCTTCTACGACTGCTTGGCGGCCTCCCGGAGGGCCAGAGGGCGTGGGGCCTCTTTGCTGGCGGTGCACTGGGCTCCTTGGCCCACCGGTGCTTCCAGCAGCTGTGGGAGAAGTCAGGATGGCCGACTTGGCCCACCAACGCCTTCATCCCGGCATGGGGGGGGAGCCACGCCTGGTCTCCTCCACCCGCAGGTGCCTCGAGCACGCCAGCCTGGCAGGGCGCCGACTGCCCTGTCGCGGGAGGGCCGCGGCCGGTCGCCTTGGCCCGCCTGGCATCGGGCCGGCACCATGGCCACGCGCCTTCACCCCATCACTGCTGGGCCACCCAGAGTGGGTGGGTGCCCACCGCCTGCCACCAGCGCCCGTTGTCTCTTGCTACAACGAGCCTTCTTCCTAGTGGAGCTATAAAGCTGAAAGAACTTTTATGTACCAAAGAGGAGGAGGTAGACCATTTCAAAGCAGAAAATCCTTTGGAGCCTACTGATATGTTGGATTTGATGATGAGAACTGTAAATCCAATCTCCTCCTCTTCTTCTTCTACTACAAGAGGGATTTCTGTTAGATTTATGGAGTCGAAGGCCCCCTTGAGATAAATAAAAGCCACATATAATCTCTCCCCTTTAAAAGATGAATATTTCTCAGTCAGGTGATAGAGAACTAGGCAATGGTCATATGTCAAGGAACCCCATCTAAATCCTATCTGTTCATGCCCCAGTATGGTTTATGATTCCATCCAATCAAGGAGCTTCTTTAATAAGTAAGCCGAATATAGCTCTCCTAGAGAAGAGAGAAGGCTGATTGGTCAATAACAGGATCACTTCTGGGCCCCTTCATAAATATCAGGATAATAACAGAATGTTTCCGTGAATCAGGTATTTGTCCACTGATGTTAATTTGAGTGAAAACTGGGGCCAGGACTGTGGCTCACCATAATGGATCAGCCTTGAATAGCTCCTTAGGGATTAGATCAGAGCCCGGAGTTTTTCCTAATTTTAATCCCGTGATAAGGCAAATGACCTCCTTAATTGATAGCTTGGGCCAGGATGCTGTTACATCAAGAGGAATAACAACAGATATAGCCACGAGGGGCTCTGGGGCAAGTGATGCTCTGTCTTCTTGGTGCTTGGGGGGGGAGCAACAGTGGGAGGGCTTCTGGTGTCCTGGCCCCACTGCCGGACCTCCTGATGGCACCTGGTATTTTTGGCCACTGTGTGACACAGAGTGTTGGACTGGATGGGCCTTTGGCCTGGTCCAACATGGGCTTCTCTTATGTTCTTATGATAGACTAGGCCCATTAGCATTCGAGAATAGCCTCTTGAAACAGACTTCCCACGTCAAAGCAGCAATACAGCATGGGATTTTAGAGGCTGGGTTTATAATAGTATTGACAATAGACCAGAAGGCCTTATTGTCAGTATTACTGATAACTGAAATCAGCTGTTCTCATTCTTTAAGGCCGATCTGTCTCCTCGTCTTAATCAGTCCTCTATACATTTTCTTCAGTTCCATCAACTCTTGATATTGCAGAGTTACTTTTAAACTCATGATGCTTCTGTCGGATGCACCTTTCTTTTGCAGTCACCATTAAACTAGCTATTCCTCTTAACGTCAGGGAATGTCCTATTGAGATTCTTTTTCACAAAAGTGGTCTAAACAGTTTTAATACTCATCTAGGGGCCCGGTCACACGGGCCAGATAGCACGGGGGGGGGGGAGGCGTGGCTCTTTGCGCCGGCGCAATTAGAACCACCAGAACGCGATCAGACGCAATGGCGGCACACCGCAGTTTTGTTTGTCAGCGCATGCGTGTCAAGGAGGACAGCCGGGGGAAAGCCGCACACCAGCACGATCACACGGAACGATTCCATCGGCAGCCCGTGGCAAACCATTTGCTACTACATTTGTTGAGATACTTTTTAACTGTGCAGCTTTGGCGGCACGCCACGGGTGCACTACGCTTGCCAGATGTTGCGGTATGATCGCGCCCTGAAACTCCGCCCAGCATGTGTGGCTCTCCTGCAGCAAATTCGGCGTGTGAATGGGGCCTAGATTATGCAAACAATTAGGCACTGAATCAAACTGCAAAACCTTGTTAACAAGAGTGTTACAAGGTCTGGAACCTATTATAGTTTGAGCCTTATTGCTAGAGTTAGATCACCACTGTAATAGACAGACCTTGTTTTGATTTTGTAGGAGAGGGAAACGTTGTGCTGGAATAAGATAATGCTCTGATGATAAGTCTATAGAGATGAAGACTGGGAGATGATCACTTCCCAAGAAGTCACCAACTTTTAGGACTTTAAAATGGGAGAGATATTCAAGCGGAGCCAGGAACAGTCTGTGATCTTTAAAAATGAAAAAGATCTTTCTTCAAATAACACTAATCTCTATTAACTAGGAGCACAGACACACAGGAAAATGGTATCAGAACAGCAGCACAAGTGTTACAGAAAAATAAGAGAGAATCAAGACATGAGGCTAGCTAATTTTTCAAGTCACAAAGTCTACCTTGACATTCCTTTCAGAGGAATGGGCACAAGAAACGCCAAAACTTTGAAACAGAGGCTGGTTGATATAGACTTTACATATTCTTTCTCCATTTCCTGGTTCTTGGCTTGTGCACCATCTACAGAGCAGGCTAAACTGTTTAACTCTTTGCCTCCCAACTGGGAGGAGTTCTGTTTCAACCTATCTTGAAATCAGGTCCGAGTGCTTGCATTTTCTGCCATTTACCCTTACCCAGTCATAACAAGGTGCACATCCTTGGTCTTTAATTGCCATAGCTCAGGAAATAAGAATGATCTCTCCTGCCTCTTTCTGGCAGGTGGACAAATGGTTATCAACTGTTCTACCCACGTGTCTCCATATATGGGGAAGATCTCCTCTTTGCCAGCAACAAGAAGATTTTATAGCCTGGTTTCCAAACAGGTGCGTTTCCTCTGAGGCCAAGGGCCTCATGGGGTGTTAATAGGGTTACCAAGTACTTACTGCGAATCGGCGGGGGACACATAGTTCTTGGCGGGAACATTCCCGCGGGGAAAACACACACACACTATACTGTTGCCCAGACGTGACATAGACACGTAGCTGGGTGACGCTCTGGCAATGGGGCTGAAAACACGATGGTACCATCGAGTTTTTAGCCCCATGGCCAGAGCATCGGCCGGCTACGTGCCCAGCGTGCTGACATCACATCTGGGTGACAGCGTGGTGCGACGCGGGTGTGTTACAGGCAGGAACAAGTACTTACCGCAAATCGGCGGGGGACACATAGTTCTTGGCGGGAACATTCCCGCGGGGAAAACACACACACACTATACTGTTGCCCAGACGTGACATAGACACGTAGCTGGGTGACGCTCTGGCAATGGGGCTGAAAACACGATGGTACCATCGAGTTTTTAGCCCCATGGCCAGAGCATCGGCCGGCTACGTGCCCAGCGTGCTGACATCACATCTGGGTGACAGCGTGGTGCGACGCGGGTGTGTTACAGGCAGGAATGTTCCGGGGGGAGATCATGCGCCCCCCGCCGATTCGCAGTACTTGGTAACCCTAGGTATGAATCAAGGCCTCCTGGCATGTCTCTGTCATAACAAGCTCCACCATTACTGTTCATAAATGAAGGAAGTAATACCTTGTTGCCTCTGAGCCCACTCACCTGCTCTGGCCAACATGGAAGCGAGGAGTTTGCAAACTATTGAGCCTCTCTTCCTCATTTTGCTTTGTTTGCTGTAGGGGAAGTAGGGAATGACCCCGATGATATTTTTGGCACAGGACGTCTTCAGTGCATAAGCCATGATCAGGAGTTCCATCACTGCCGTGTTTACATCTCTGAAACAGGTAAAACCAGCATCGTCAATCCATAGCCACAGCTTCTTGATTCTTCCCAAAAAACTTTTTTTAAAAAACAACCCAGACCAGATAACTACAGCCAGAAACCTTTGTGTAGGAAACCTTTGCTCAAGGTTCTGGGACAGCAAGCCTCTCTCAGCCTCATCTAGTGGTTTTCAAACCGTGTCGACAAGACCCTTGGGAGTCCAGAGAAACTTGTCAGTGGCTCTGCAACAAGAGGATCAGTAGCAGTAGAGAATCTTCCCAGAAGACGGCTTGCATGGCCATTTACAATCTTCTCAAATATGCAGCCAAACAAGAGCTTTGGGAACAGAGCATTGGGAGACCATTTGGTGTGGTGGTTAAGTGCGCGGACTCTAATCTGGGAGAACCGGGTTTGATTCCCCACTCCTCCACTTGCACCTGGCTGGATGACCTTGGGTGAGCCATAGTTCTGATAAGAGCTGTCCTTGAAAAAGAGCAGTTTCTGTCAAGAGCTCTCTCAGCCCCACCTACCTCACAGGTGTGTCTGTTGTGGGGAGGGGAAGGGGAAGGAGTTTGAAAGCCGCTCTGAGACTCCTTTGGGTAGTGAAGGGCGGGGTATAAATCCAATCTCTTCTTCCTCTTCTTCTTCTTCACTCTAGACCCTAGACTGACTTTCACTTTGTGCAGGCCCAACAAATCCTGCCAGGACTTTCCTTGAACTGAGAATGCATCCTAGAACAAGCTCAAGATCTTCTACAGCAGGGGTGTCAAACATAAGGCCCGGGGGCCGGATCCGGCCCATCCAGGGCTGTTATGCAGCTCGTGAGCAACTGATGCAAGGGAGGGAGTGCTGGGAGGGGGGAGTGGACAAAGCCACTCCATTATGCCCTTAGCACGGCAGAACAACCTCGCTTGCAGCAGTCAAGCATTGTGGGAGCATCTGCCCAGCATTGCACTGCTGCCTCTCCGATCTGCCTCTGTGGGTTTTCCTCTGCGCACCCCAGGGGGCGTTGCAGTGAGGATACACCAACTCGGAGCTTACCAGCTGCTGTCCGTTATACAGTTTCTATGCCCAGTACCTGGCATTACATTTTACGGCACACGTGGCCCGGCCCGACAAAGAGACATTTATGTCAGATCTGGCCCTCATAACAAATGAGTTTGACACGTCTGTTCTACAGTGTACGGATACTGCAAAGTGGACACGCAAGAATTCACTGGGAGTCATCGCAATATGGAAAGGGGTTCCAGAGGGATAAGAAGTTTGAAAATCACTGTCCTAACCTATCCAGCACAGATGTCGAAGAAAGACTGCAATGCGGTCCCCCTTTCTTGCAACACCCTCAATCATATCAGAAACTGAGTGCGGCGAAGGGGAATTCTAACATAGGCAGTTTGCCCCGATATACACGCGTTTCAGAAACGTTCCACAACCGGATTAAATGGGCCGTTCACACAGGCACATCTGTCAGGCGTTCCCCACCCGTACTCAAACCCGTCTTGTAACGCTTAGCTTCCGAGTTTAAAAGATACCTGGTGAAAGTGGTAGCAAACCCTGGAAAGTGCGATTATCCCGCGTCCATCCCGCACCAACAAAGTGTGAACGCCAAAAGCCACATTTTTCTTATGTGCTCATGCACATAAGCACTCATGCGCATAAGTGCATATCTCCAGATTGCAAAAAAAGAAAGCCGCACCTTACAGCCATGCCCCCGGGCCAACAGTGTGAACGCTCCCTCGCGCCTCCTCCCGGTATGCCCCCACATCAGTCGCTGCAGTGTGACCGGGAAAACCTGGAACAGTTTGTTCCGGCTCTTTTTTGTCACGACTCCCTCCCGCTTCAAACTGCCCATCTGAACTCAGCCGTGGACAGGACTGACTGCCCATTTTCCCCTCACCAACCCCCCCCTGTACACCTAGAGGGCATGCATTCTTCATGCATTTGGAAACAATTTAACCACATGTGGGCCTTCAGCCAGCCAATTATACTGATTATATTGGTGTGTAGGCTTAAATATGTCTGCTCATTTGTCTATGTTTGCTGGCTACATTATAAGAAGCTTGCCGCACATCATAATCTCTTGAATACAGTGAGTGATCCAGCCATGGCTCTCTTTCATCTGCACTTGTCATTGCACCAGACCGGGGCCCTCTGATTTCCCCCAATTACCTGGGGTGACACCTTTATGAACCCTTCCAGTACTCCAAGGCATCTCACTAAGTCAGTCTTCATTTTAAGCCCACTGCTCTCATTTTTTCATTGTAACTTCTCTTTTGAAAAGTAACCTACATTTAAGTAAAGGTAAAAGGTAAATGTTCCCTTGCTTGAAAGCCAGTCGAGTCCGACTCTAGGGTCTAATCTGGGAGAACCGGGTTTGATTCCCCACTCCTCCACTTGCACCTGGCTGGATGACCTTGGGTGAGCCATAGTTCTGATAAGAGCTGTCCTTGAAAAAGAGCAGTTTCTGTCAAGAGCTCTCTCAGCCCCACCTACCTCACAGGTGTGTCTGTTGTGGGGAGGGGAAGGGGAAGGAGTTTGAAAGCCGCTCTGAGACTCCTTTGGGTAGTGAAGGGCGGGGTATAAATCCAATCTCTTCTTCCTCTTCTTCTTCTTCACTCTAGACCCTAGACTGACTTTCACTTTGTGCAGGCCCAACAAATCCTGCCAGGACTTTCCTTGAACTGAGAATGCATCCTAGAACAAGCTCAAGATCTTCTACAGCAGGGGTGTCAAACATAAGGCCCGGGGGCCGGATCCGGCCCATCCAGGGCTGTTATGCAGCTCGTGAGCAACTGATGCAAGGGAGGGAGTGCTGGGAGGGGGGAGTGGACAAAGCCACTCCATTATGCCCTTAGCACGGCAGAACAACCTCGCTTGCAGCAGTCAAGCATTGTGGGAGCATCTGCCCAGCATTGCACTGCTGCCTCTCCGATCTGCCTCTGTGGGTTTTCCTCTGCACCCCCCCTCCCACCCCAGGGGGCCTTGCAGTGAGGATACACCAACTCGGAGCTTACCAGCTGCTGTCCGTTATACAGTTTCTATGCCCAGTACCTGGCATTACATTTTACGGCACACGTGGCCCGGCCCGACAAAGAGACATTTATGTCAGATCTGGCCCTCATAACAAATGAGTTTGACACGTCTGTTCTACAGTGTACGGATACTGCAAAGTGGACACGCAAGAATTCACTGGGAGTCATCGCAATATGGAAAGGGGTTCCAGAGGGATAAGAAGTTTGAAAATCACTGTCCTAACCTATCCAGCACAGATGTCGAAGAAAGACTGCAATGCGGTCCCCCTTTCTTGCAACACCCTCAATCATATCAGAAACTGAGTGCGGCGAAGGGGAATTCTAACATAGGCAGTTTGCCCCGATATACACGCGTTTCAGAAACGTTCCACAACCGGATTAAATGGGCCGTTCACACAGGCACATCTGTCAGGCGTTCCCCACCCGTACTCAAACCCGTCTTGTAACGCTTAGCTTCCGAGTTTAAAAGATACCTGGTGAAAGTGGTAGCAAACCCTGGAAAGTGCGATTATCCCGCGTCCATCCCGCACCAACAAAGTGTGAACGCCAAAAGCCACATTTTTCTTATGTGCTCATGCACATAAGCACTCATGCGCATAAGTGCATATCTCCAGATTGCAAAAAAAGAAAGCCGCACCTTACAGCCATGCCCCCGGGCCAACAGTGTGAACGCTCCCTCGCGCCTCCTCCCGGTATGCCCCCACATCAGTCGCTGCAGTGTGACCGGGAAAACCTGGAACAGTTTGTTCCGGCTCTTTTTTGTCACGACTCCCTCCCGCTTCAAACTGCCCATCTGAACTCAGCCGTGGACAGGACTGACTGCCCATTTTCCCCTCACCAACCCCCCCCTGTACACCTAGAGGGCATGCATTCTTCATGCATTTGGAAACAATTTAACCACATGTGGGCCTTCAGCCAGCCAATTATACTGATTATATTGGTGTGTAGGCTTAAATATGTCTGCTCATTTGTCTATGTTTGCTGGCTACATTATAAGAAGCTTGCCGCACATCATAATCTCTTGAATACAGTGAGTGATCCAGCCATGGCTCTCTTTCATCTGCACTTGTCATTGCACCAGACCGGGGCCCTCTGATTTCCCCCAATTACCTGGGGTGACACCTTTATGAACCCTTCCAGTACTCCAAGGCATCTCACTAAGTCAGTCTTCATTTTAAGCCCACTGCTCTCATTTTTTCATTGTAACTTCTCTTTTGAAAAGTAACCTACATTTAAGTAAAGGTAAAAGGTAAATGTTCCCTTGCTTGAAAGCCAGTCGAGTCCGACTCTAGGGTCGCGGTGCTCATCTCCGTTTCAAAGCCAAAGAGCCAGCACTGTCCGAAGATGTTTCCGTGGTCATGTGGCCGGCATGACCAAGGCGCATGGAACGCTGTTACCGTTCCCACTGAAGTGGTACCTATTTATCGACTTGCAATTTCTTGCTTTCGAACTGCTAGGTTGGCAGGAGCTGGAACTAGAGATGGGAGCTCACTCCGTCATGCGGCAACTCGGGTCTCGAACTGCTGAACTACCGACCTTCCACAGCCTGCAGTTCAGCGTCTTAACCACTTGAGGCACCGCAGCTCCGGTTTGCTAAACCTACATTTAACTTCCCTCATTTGGTTTGTTCATCATCTACCTTCACCACAATGCACTTGATATGATGCTTCAAACACAAGAAAGCTTTGTTCTCAAATGAAGGAAACAGCCAAGAATTACATAAAGCCAACCCCCCTCCACCCAAGCAATTAAGACAGAAAGTTAACAATGGCTCCGATCACACACAGAGTTTGTCGCGGAAGAGCAACGAATGCCGGATGGATTTTTAGGGTGCAATCACACCGCAACATCTGGCAAGCGTTGCACCCGTGGCCAACCAGTGGCGTCCGGCCATGGATGTAGTTAAAAAGCCCCTGCCAAACTCCACAGGCAAATGGTTTGCCACGGGCCACAGACGGACTTGATCCGTGTGATCGTGCCAGTGAGCACTTATTCCCTCTGGCCGTCCTCGTTGAAGTGTGCTGGAAGCACGCGCCAACGGACAAAACCCCGGCGCACCACTGTCATGTCTGACCAAGTCCATCAAATTTGTGATGACCAGGGCTAGGGCGTTTTCGGTGGCGGCTCCTATCTGGTGGAATGAGCTCCCAGGGGAGATCCGGGCCCTGCGGGACCTTGTACAGTTCCGCAGGGCCTGTAAGACGGAGCTCTTCCGCCAGGCTTTTGAATAGGAGTTGCCACCACCATTGTTCCATCAACGCCCTATAATTTTCGCACACTGTCAGCACTGGTGCGGGTTCCATCGGAGGGAGTGGGACACGCCTAGGGACAACAGGGGGGAATGGGTAGGCAATTATATCATGGAGAACACCATCTTGATTGTAAGAATTTGGATATGAGTAGAGGAGCACTGGAAATGTTTTAAGAACTTTTGTTAATTATTTAATTGCTCATTTTGTAATTTTAGTCTGTATTTTATTGTTTTATTGTTATTATCCGGCGTTATGCCCTTGTTAGCCGCGCTGAGCCTGCGGGGAGGGCGGGATAGAAATCTAAATAAATAAATAAATAATAAATAAAAATTTACCTCGGGATTGTCTGAATAATGAAAACATCCTGGCCTCGGACAGATTCTTTTATTTCAACCCTTGTTTCTGAAGAGAGGGAACAAAAGATTTACACTTTAAAAAGATGCACTTTGCTTGCAAAGTTAGCCCAATAGCGCACGCACCTCCAAACAACAAGCCTAGTAGTGTTGGCTGAGGAGAAGAACTTTTAAATGTTCCCAGAATAAATTTTTATAGACAACTTCCTCAACGGATGTCTGAAACAACAGGCCTTCAAACCTTCAGGGTCCGCCCAATGTCTGATCATTTTCATCTGTACATTCAGCACCACCAGAGAAGTGTGAGAAATTTGCTGTTCAAATATTCTAGTTGGTCAGAGTTATAAGGAAAATGGGAAGAGAAAAGGGCAGCTTGTGTATCACAAGTCTGTGACAGGATGGTAGCAGCAGCCATTTTACGTGGCGCTTCAGTCAGCGGCGGCTGGCGCTCCCCGAAAAAAGAGGTGTGAAGGAGAAGGATCCCCACCCCAGATTTCCCTCCCCTCAAAAGAAATTCAACAGAAAAACAGGGGGAAAATTATCCTGAAATATTTTGAGAATAAGTGAAGATTTCAGAACATTGTTTTAGCTTCCCTTTACTTCTTCAGAATGCTTTCCCATAACTGGTGCAGACATCTATAAGCAGGGGTCATTTCGTAGAAAAAGAGGCGCAGGAGCTCATTAGCATAACTCATTAGCATAACTCATTTGCATATTTATTTATTTATTTATACTTTCAATTTAATATCCCGCTCTAATCCCATAGTTGGGGTCTCTGAGCGGCTTACAAGTTTTCTGGTGCTAATCACCATTTTTGTACCTAACTAAGGCCACAATGTATGTAAGGGGAAGGGACAGCCTACCAGCACCCCCACTGTGGTGTCTTTGTCGTGATGTTCTCCGTCGGGTCGGGTCGGCTCGGTCGGACGGGACTCTGGACTTGGCGGAGGTGTTTCTTCTCCGGCGTTCGGTGGTGGTGTGCTCTTCTCCTAGACGTGCCGCTTCGCTTGCTTCCGGCCCGGCTATGTCCTTTCCGGCTCCGCTGGGCTGGTGCTCGGCATCTGCGCACACCCCATCATCTTTTTCCTCTGATATCATCAGAAGTGTCAGAAGGCAACACCCACCGCTCAGGCTCCACTGGATTGTTTTGGATTGCTAGCTATTGGGGGGGGGACACGCACAGATCTGTCCTCAGAGAGGAGGGAGAGCTTGTACCTGAATAAAACTTGGTCTTAAAGGTGCCTGTGACGACCCCTTATCTGGGGAGGCCTGGTTTCACTTTAAAAGGGTTCTTTTTATTTTGTTCAACTGGGTAGGTTAGGCTGCCACCAGGAAATTTTAGGCTTTCCGAACCTTTATACTTTCTTTTGGCTATCACTGGATAGTTAGGTCGAGTTTTTAAGTCTCATGAGGGTCTATGTGTTTCCTGAGGAATTATTTCTTTCAGAGCGGGCAGACTTAAATAAAAGAAGATTTATTGAAACAGTTCATAAATAAAAGTGTAGAACAATGTAACCAGTAATGTGAATAATTTTAACAATTTCGTTGTGTCTCACACAGGATTTGCTACCTTTCTGACGGATTTTTCAAGTAACTTTGTAACTCATTACTCAGGGTCATATACGTTTCCTATTTCACTCCAGTCTGTCACTCAGACTTTCATTTAACTTTTGCTTCCTTATACATTCAACTTTTCTTCATACACAGAACTTAACTCTTGTATCACACACAAGACTGTCTCTCTCCCTCAGACCTCAGAACGAACTAACAACTGTCTTTATCAACTGTCAAACTTCTAACTGTCACTCCTGAAGGACATGCCCATTCATCCACTCAGAAACACTTTCTAAAACCCCTCCCCCTCTGTCAATCACACAGCCATGCAACCAAACTTTTAAAGAGACACACACACATATAAAACAAGGAATCGTTACAATGCCACTGGACTGTTTTGGACCAGGGGAGGGGAGGGGGGCTCTGCAGCTTACCTGGTGCTTCTTGCTCTGACTGAGGGCTGCTGGGAGCAGGGGGTGGGGCTTGTTGCATGTGCCCACCCCCCTGGGCTCTTTACTGCCAGAGCTCCGCTCCTGCAGGAAATGGCCCCTGTCTATAAGCATCAAGTAATTGCTACATAGCATACATATGTACACCCCTTAAGCCCCTTAGCTTCTTGAGATTCCTCCATCCAGCATGTGAAAAAAACCTGGCTTGTATTTAGAAATACACACCACAAATCAAGGGACAAACTAGCATGTGAGAAAGGACAGAAACCTGTTTCAATCCATGAAGTTCATGGGAATAAAAAGGAAAGTTCAGACCTGAATCTAGAGACCCAGGTCTAAAACCCCACTCTGCCATGAAAGCTCACTGGGTGCACTGCTTGCAAAGTTAGCCGAATAGCACATGCACCTCCAAATAAAAAGCCTAGTAGCTGCGGTGGCTCAAGTGGTTAAGACGCTGAACTGCAGGCTGTGGAAGGTCGGTAGTTCAGCAGTTCGAGACCCGGGTGCCGCAAGATGGAGTGAGCTCCTGTCTCTAGTTCCAGCTCCCGCCAACCTAGCAGTTCGGAAGCAAGAAATTGCAAGTAGATAAATAGGTACCACTTCGGTGGGAAGGTAACAGCGTTCCGTGCGCCTTGGTGTTTAGTCATGCCGGCCACATGACCATGGAAATGTCTTTGGACAGCGCTGGCTCTTCGGCTTTGAAACGGAGATGAGCACCGCAACCCTAGAGTCGGATTCGACTGGCTTTCGAGCAAGGGAACCTTTACCTTTACCTAGCATTGCCTGAGGAGAGGATCTTGGGCCAGCCATACACTCTCAGCCTAACCAACCTCACACAGTTGTTGATGTGAGGATAAAATCAAGCGCGGAGAATGATGTTATAAATTTTTGGTTCCCACTGGGGAGAAAAGCAGGATATAAATAAAAAAAAGACTAACTTTTCAAATACTGATTCTCCATTTCTTACATTACACAATATAGGGTTCAGTTACTATGATACAATCTGTGATGATTTATCCTTAAGTTTAACTCAATATCTAGATTTACTGATTAAATTCTTGATAATTGATCAGTTCAGCTGGAATCAGACACTGTTTTGGGTTTTTTGTTTAAAAAAAAAAGCAGTTTGAAGACATTGTTTATTATGGTATGTAGGCTATTTTCACTGTTGTTTCTGGTCAACCAATGTTGCAAGGTTTTACATTGTGGATACTACTGGCTGCATAGAGAAGAGGCACGTGGCAGCTGCTGAAAACAAAATACAGGAGTGTTATCACCACAGCCCAGAAGATTATTGGCTGCCCTCTCCCGTTCCTGGAGGAATTGTATAGTTCTTGATGCTTGAAAAAAGCAAAGAACATTCTGCAGGATTTGTCACACCCTGAACACTCCCTGTTTGAACTGCTGCCTTCGGGTAGAAGATATAGGACAATTAAAACAAGGACAAACAGATTAAAAAATAGTTTTTATTCGAGAGCTATTATTGCTTTAAATGCTGTATGAAATTGGAATTTGGGTGACATTGGTGGTTTAAGTTGCAATGTGAACCTTAAGGGAGTCATGGGATGGTTGTGAATGGTTGTGTGAGTGTGTATGAGTATGGTTGTAGATCACCGAACGATTGCACCTTTCATTTCGTTGTACTATGTACAATGACAATAAAGTGTATATTATTATTATTATTATTATTATTATTATTATTATTATTGGTTTGATCCAACAGGAGAGTTCTGAATAGTAATTTTTATTTATTTATTTCTTCAAATTCATACAGGACCAATGAAACGGCAACATACAGACAAGTCAGAACAAAAATCATAAACTATTAAGATATCCTATCCCATCGTAGCTGGATTCCTTACAATGATACGCTGGTTCAGGATCGTGAGAGATGACACTGCTTCCTTCGGCAGCAAAATGTTTGGTTGCTGCTTCACCAAATAAACCAGCTTACTAGTTATTGGAACTGATACACAAATGTCTTAATGACCCAGGACTGAAGTAGTTAGAGATTGTTTACAGGGCATACCCTGGAATGAATCTGAAGATAGGTCCCCCTGACTCTGAATTTCAGTTTGGTTTGGGCTGGGGTCGTCATTTCCAATAGGCGACACCTTCCTGGAAATGGCACACATTTTCATAACACGATCCATGAAGCAAACTTTGGTTTGTAAAACTCAAGCCAAATAACCTAGGTAGCTCTAATGGAACAAATCAATGAGCACCACAGCTGAAATCTTGCAACAAGCCAACAGATTTAACAAAGACAGAAGTGACATAAGCAGGGGTCATTTCCTGCAGGAGCACACAGGAGCGGAGCTCCGGCAGTAAAGAGCCCAAGGGGGTGGGCACCAATGTTCCCTCTAAGCTGTGGAGTCTTGTGAGCAAAAATTCTGCTTTGTGAGTTACTGGCTTTAAAGTTGTGAGCCAGTGATTTGGCTACTGCATAAATCAGTTAGCTCTAGAGCCCTCCTTCCTGAGCCAAGGCAAACGTGTGTGAGCTGGAGGCTAAAAAATTGTGAGCTAGCGCACACTAACTCAGCTTAGAGGGAACACTGGTGGGCACATACAACAAGCCCCACCCCCTGCTTCCAGCAGCCCTCAGTCAGAGCAAGAAGCAGCCAGGTAAGTTGCAGAGCCCCCCTCCCCTGGTCCAAAACAGTCCAGTGGCACATTTAAGACCAAGCTTTATTCAGGTACAACCTCTCCCTCCTCTGCGAGGACAGATCTGCATGTCCCCCCCTCCAATAGCTAGCAATCCAAAACAGTCCAGTGGAGCCTGAGCGGTGGGTGTTGCCTTCTGACACACTTCCGGTGCTGTCAGGGGCTGTGGCATATGCAAATAAGTTATGCTAATGAGTTATGCTAACGAGCTCCTGCACCTCTTTTTCTACGAAATGACCCCTGGACATAAGAAGTCCGCAGCATCACAGAAACGTACACCCAGATTGAATGTGCTTGTCTGAGCTCACCAACATAAATCTAAGTCAGCAATGTGGTTTCTGTTCTTGCCAGAACAAATGCCATATCTCACTTTTCAGGTGCCACTGAGAGAACTCCTTATTTGATTTTCTAACTCCTGCCCTGATTTTTAATTTTCCATTGAAACTATTGTCTAACTTCAGAAACGGACGTCTCCTCAAGGTATGTTTAGCTGTTACCCGCTCGTGGGTGCTAAGACTGGTGGCGTGACTGACAGGTGAGTTTCTCTGAACGACACAGCAAGGTTACTTTGCACAGACCCTAACCCTGACTCACCTCCATTGAGAGAGAAGGTTTTTATTGTATTTAGCCATAGGCCATTACAAACCACAAACAGAGAAGAATGCAACAAAACATGGAACATTGTATAAAATAAAATACGTTGGATCAGGCCAAAGGCCCATCCCGTCCAACACTCTGTGTCACACAGTGGCCAGAAATACCAGTGCCATCAGGAGGTCCAGCAGTGGGGCCAGGACATTAGAAGGCCTCCCACTGTTGACCCCCCAAGCACCAAGAAGACAGAGCATCACTTGCCCCAGAGCCCCTATCTATATCTTGTGGCTAATAGCCACTGATGGATCTCTGCTCCATATGCTTATCTAATTCCCTTTTGAAGCCATCCATGCTTGTAGCTGCCACCCCTTCCTGTGGCAGTGAATTCCACGTGTTAATCACTCTTTGGGTGAAGAAGTACTTCCTTTTATCCGTTCTAACCCGACCGCTCAGCAGTTTCATGGAGTGCCCACGAGTTCTTGTATTGTGAGAAAGGGAGAAAAGTACCTCTTTCTCTACCTGCTCTTTCCCATGCATAATCTTATAAACCTCGATCATGTCACCCCTCAGTCGTCGTTTCTCCAAGCTAAAGAGCCCTAAGCGCCTTAACCTTTCCTCATAGGGAAAGTGTTCCAACCCTTTTATCATTCGAGTTGCCCTTTTCTGCACTTTTCCCAAAGCTATAATATCCTTTTTAAGGTGTGGTGACCAGAACTGCACACAGTATTGGCTAGTTCCCCTAGGAACACAAATAAAAGCTTCAAACTGATAAAATACCAGATAAAAATTTTGACCTAGGCTGGGAGTACAATGGGCAATCAAAAATGTAATGGGAGAGATCCACAATAGCAGGAGAGCCACAAATACATAAACGCTGTGCCTTGGGTGTTCTACTTTAGCGGCCAACTCACCTCCATTGGTTTCTTGATACACCACAGCTTTCCCCAGTTCAGCACCTAGACGCCTGAAGAAAAGAGAGAAAGAGAGATGCCAGAAGATTCAGATTCTCATGCGATAGTGGTTGATTTGTATAGAATGGCTCATATCATGCAAACTCTAGCTGTGAACAGTACCAACAAATATCTGTACTAAAAGACAAGCTTGGAGGACAAATGGAGGATAGCTATATGGTATAAATGACATTGTTCTATAGGATACTTACAGGCCTTATCAAATACTGCAGCTCAGTAGGGCACAAATTACTTTAGATAGATAGATAGAGAGCCAGTTTGGTGTAGTGGTTAAGTGCACGGACTCTAATCTGGGAGAACCGGGTTTGATTCCCCACTCCTCCCCTTGCACCTGCTGATGTGACCTTGGGTCAGTCACAAGCTCTGGCACAGCTGTCCTTGAAAAAGAGCAGTTCCTGTCAAGAGCTCTCTCACCCCACCCACCTCACAGGGTGTCTGTTGTGGGGAGGGGAAGGGAAACGAGTTTGTAAGCTGCTCTGAGACTCCAAGTGAAGGGTGGGGTATAAATCCAATCTCTTCTCTTCTTCTTCTCTACTGACTGGTCCTTTTTAACTGGAGATGCCAGGAATTGAACTTGGGACCTTCTGCATGCCAAGCAGAGGCTTTGCCATTGAGCCACAGCCCCACTTCATGGCTCTCCAGGGTCTCAGGCTGAGGTCTTTCACATCACCTCCTACCTGGTCCTTTCAACTGGAGATGCCTGGGATTGAACCTGGGACCTTCTGCCTGCCAAGCAGATGCTCTGCCACTGATGCTGAAAGAGCAGTTTGTGTCAGAGTTCTCTCAGCCCCACCCACCTCACAGGGTGTCTGTTGTGGGGAGGGGAAGGGAAAGGAGTTTGTAAGCCGCTCTGAGACTCCAAGTGAAGGGCGGGGTATAAATCCAATCTCTTCTTCTTCTTCTTCTTAGAGGGAACACTGCTCATAGGGGCATTGACTGTTACCCTACCAAAACATACAATTCAGCACAGAAAAAGAAATTAAGGGTAAACTCCCATTTCTAAATATCATGGTTATCCACAAAGCTAACCTTCAATTAGGTCACAAGGTCTACAAAAAAACCAACTCACACGGATCGCTGTTTATACAAAAACTCCGACCACCACCCTCCGTAAAAAAGAGGCATCATCAAAACATTAGCAGACTGTGCAAAACGGATATGTGAACCACACTTTCTCAACAATGACTCAGCCCTACCCCACCTTCCTGAGTAGATATAAATTACCTGCCTACCATTTTTCTTCTCATCTTGACACAGAGAGTACTCCACCTTTCTGTGTTATAATTCTAAGGATGCCAGTCACAGCTACTGGCGAAACATCAGGCACTACAATGCCAAGACCACGGGTCATACAGCCCGGAAAATCAACAACAACTAAAAGATTTTTGTTTGAAGCAATGAGAATAGTGGATTTATGTTAGAAGATTGTTTCTTTGATCTGAATACATTTGTTGATTCTAAATAATTCGGGGCTCGACAAATCCCAAATGCTTGCCCATTGTGGCATCTAGAAATTTCATTGTGGTGCCTAGTATTTTCAGCAATGACTTTATTATAGCATCTCTCAGCAATTCTCAGGGGACATTCAAAGCTTATTTATTATTTGGCATCAAACCATTCAACATCACAGTAATCCAAGTCTATGCCCCAACCACTGATGCAGAAGAGGCTGAAGTGGGCCAGTTCTATTCCTGAGCTAGAGTATCTGACTAGGACTGCAGAGGCCTGGGTTCAGGTCTCTACTCAACCACGAATGTACCTTGCTGGGTGAGCTTGGGCCAATCATTCTGTCAGCCTAACTTTCCTAACAGGGTTGTTGTGAAGACCAATTGGACAGAGAAAACTATGTACACCACTCTTGACTTCCGTGTAAAAAGGTAGAATAAAAATGCAACAGAGCCAAAGTCAGCAGGGATGAACTACACAGAAAGGAAGCAAGTTCACCAGAGAGTGACATTCAACACTTGGATGAGGTTACTCACATTTGCCCTACATTATTTCATGGCAAAGAAGGGCTTTGTTTGCTCATAAACACTTGCTTCAGCAAAGTACAGATCTTGTTAAGTGTACATGTCAGACACAAAGTATAAGACAGGGAATGTGAGGGACAGGCAGCATGTAAGAAGGATTCTGCAGAACGAAGAGCATTAAGCAAGAGACGGCACCTAATGCGTGTGGTAACAGGCCGAAGGGACAACAGAGTTCACCAAGGCAAGAAACAGAGCCTGAACATCAAGGGAACTACATGTCTTTGGGTATTGCGCTATCATTCATCCCTTGAACTTTCTTAGCTGGACATGATTACAGTGTGGATCCCCTTTGTATCTGAGGTGTTCTGGTTTGTTGTTGTTCAGTCGCACAGTCGTAAAGGACAAAAACGGTAGGGACCTAACAGAAGCAGAAGAGATTAGGAAAAGATGGCAAGAATACACAGAAGAACTATACAAGAAAGACCTCGATGTCCTTGACAACCACGACGGTATAATCACTGACCTCGAGCCAGACATCCTGGAATGTGAAGTTAAATGGGCCTTAGAAAGCATTACTAACAACAAAGCTAGTGGAGGTGATGGTATTCCAGTTGAGCTATTCAAAGTCTTAGAAGATGATGCTGTTAAAGTTCTGCACTCCATTTGCCAGCAAATTTGGAAAACGCAACAGTGGCCACAGGATTGGAAAAGGTCAGTATACATTCCAATCCCAAAGAAGGGCAATGCCAAGGAATGTTCAAACTATCGCACAATTGCACTCATATCACACGCTAGCAAGGTCATGCTCAAGATCCTACAAGCTAGGCTTCAACAGTACGTGGATAGAGAACTACCAGAAGTACAAGCTGGGTTTCGAAGAGGTAGAGGAACTAGAGATCAAATTGCCAACATTCGCTGGATTATGGAGAAAGCAAGAGAGTACCAGAAAAATATCTACTTCTGCTTCATTGACTATGCTAAAGCTTTTGACTGTGTGGATCACAACAAACTATGGCAGGGCCTTAAAGAGATGGGAGTACCAGACCACCTCACATGTCTCTTGAGAAACCTGTATAAGGGCCAAGAAGCGACAGTTAGAACCGGATATGGAACAACTGATTGGTTCAGCATAGGAAAAGGAGTACGACAAGGATGTATATTGTCGCCTTGCTTATTTAATATATATGCAGAGTACATCATGCGAAATGCTGGCCTGGATGAATCACAAGCGGGAATTAAGATTGCTGGGGAAAAGATCAACAACCTCAGATATGCAGACGATACCACTCTGATGGCAGAAAGTGAAGAGGACCTCAAGAGCCTCTTGCTCAGGGTAAAAGAGGAGAGCGCAAAAGTGGGCTTGAAGCTCAACATCAAAAAAACTAAGATCATGGCATCCGGCCCCATCACTCCTTGGCAAATAGAAGGGGAAGCTGTGGAAGTAGTGACAGACTTCACGTTCCTGGGATCCCAGATCACTGCAGACTGTGACAGCAGTCATGAAATTAAAAGACGCCTGCTCCTTGGGAGGAAAGCGATGGCGAACCTAAACAGCATGATAAAAAGTAGAGACATCACCCTGCCAACAAAAGTCCGCATGGTCAGAGCAATGGTATTCCCAGTAGTCATGTATGGCTGCGAGAGTTGGACTATAAGGAAGGCTGAGCGCCAAAGAATAGATTCTTTTGAACTATGGTGCTGGAGAAGACTCTTGAGAGTCCCTTGGACTGCAAGAAGATCAAATCAGTCAGTCCTAAAAGAAATCAACCCTGACTGTTAAGAACATAAGATACGCCAATGTTGGATCAGGCCAAAGGCCCATCCAGTCCAACACTCTGTATCACACAGTGGCCAGAAATACCAGTGCCATCAGGAGGTCCACCAGTGGGGCCAGGACATTAGAAGCCCTCCCACTGTTGACCCCCCCCAAGCACCAAGAAGACAGAGCATCACTTGCCCCAGAGCCCCTATCTATACCTTGTGGCTAATAGCCACTGATGGACCACTGCTCCATATGCTTATCTAATTCCCTTTTGAAGCCGCCCATGCTTGTAGCCGCCACCCCTTCCTGTGGCATCTCTTGTCAAACCCAAATCATAGCACAGAGGATGTTTGATGAAGATGCAGATCACCCTACGCTCCTTTGAGCAAAAGGAGAGATAAAAGTTAGTAAACATTAAAACAGATTTACAAAGTTACACGGAGGTCCCATAGCCTATTTTTTAGTTTAACAAAAAGATCAATCTTCTGCTAGGTCACTGGAGCGGGCTAAATTCCACTGCAAGCTGGATCACCTCCATGCACTTGAAACTCTGTGGTCCCAGAGTACAAAAGTGTGTACTTTTCCTATGAACAAAATGTTTATAATGGCATCTCGACAAAGAGTGCTTTAGAAAGCCGGTACAATGATCATATCACATCAATTTCAATTCGGAACATTTTTCAGGATACTTGAGCTGTGTGGGTTCTAACCAGGGTTGAATTCCAGTAGAACAAGATTGTTGATAAGGGGAAAAAACCAACAAGTTGAAGAGTGGAGTTAATTTCAAATAGTCATAATCCTAAATTCATACCTGGATCATGCTAGTATACCAAATCAGGTGCAGGAGTACCCACTTCTTACTGCTTAGAACAATTTTTATATTTACTTACCAGCAAGTGTTTTCAGACATGGGCTGAATATAACTGTGTATCTGATCTAAAGATGTATGACAAAGGATAACCATTTCAATTCAAAATGAAGTTCTCATTGGCAAGCATAAAGAAAAACCTCTAGTCTGCATTAAGGTAAAGGTAAAGGTTTCCCTTGCTCGAAAGCCAGTCGAATCCGACTCTAGGGTTGCGGTGCTCATCTCCGTTTCGAAGCCGAAGTGCCAGCGCTGTCCGAAGACGTTTCCGTGGTCATGTGGCCGGCATGACTAAACACCAAGGCGCACGGAATGCTGTTCCCTTCCCCACCGAAGTACCTATTTATCTACTTGCAATTTCTTGCTTTCGAACTGCTAGGTTGGCAGGAGCTGGAA